TCTGACCATCAATTCTATCATTTTCTAAAGTTGCATCAAAATCCAAAACAAGTAAACCTGAAGTTCTCCTTGTTAATGCTTTAAGAAGCAAAGCAACAGTTAAACTCAAATATATTTACAACGGTACATATATATACAAATTATATTTACCTCACTATTAAGATAAATCCCAGCTATAATTTTCTGTGTGAAAATCAGCAAAGCTGGCATGGCAGTTAGACTGCTGCAGAGTTTTAATAGTTATTTGCTGTGTTATCAGCTAAATGTATCGGTCGAGTTATGTGCAAATAACTCAAGTCGAGCTGAAGGTTCATAAACGAACCAACGACAAAACGTATTGTTTTAAAATGCGATAAGAAGTTGCCAAAGCCAAGTTCTACATGGGCGTACTCGGAAAAATATCAGAAGTAAAAAATTAATAACCAAAATTTTTTTTTTATTTATTTCGAGATATTTTAGTATTTTATTTCGAGAGGACAACCCGGCAGTCAATCACTCTTCCTTTTTATTCAATATTATTTCCACGTGTTCCACGATTGTCGGCAACGCTCGTTCACTAAATAAGTGACGTCACAAAAGTATAGCCCACGAAAGACAATTTTCACTTAAAATTTTATTTAAGATTTATATCTTCAAATGGAAATTTAATATCATAATGCTTGTTATCGAGCTGGCCGAGGCTGAAATCGAATTCAGGAGTAGTTTATGCTAGGTGTACTCTGGACCGAAACATTATTTCAAGAATAATAATAATACTTTTGTGCAAATTATATAGGTATATTATATAGCAATTATATAGCAAAACTTATTTTCGGTTCAAAAAATGTAAAAAAAACATACTAACCACAGTCTAAGTACTCGCATAGAACAATAGTATTCGCAAGTGCGTTTAGAATGTGACTCTACGAGTGCCCCTTTTTCATTTTTGTGCAAATTAAGTCAAACTTTTTTGTCGGTTCAGAAAATTTTAAAAATTACCCCCACTTGTCGCAGTCTAAGTGACACCGTGAAACAAACGTATAAGCAATTTCGTTTATATTGTGACTTTACCAAACTTTTGCCTAAATTATTATGGAGTATAATTAATAGTTGGATGGTTCGTTGGAGTGGTGATTGGTTAGTGGTGATTTCCCCATTAGGAAAAGATTTGAATATTTTCTTATAGTATAAACTTTAGTTTTTACTTGTTTATTACTATATTTTTTTAAATTTTAAAACATTTAGCAAATATATAAAAATTATGATTATTAATTATTATTTAGTCTATAGATTATATTCAAAAAGGTTGATGAAAAATTTCGAAAATAAAAAATTATTTTGATTTGAGTTAGACATTTCTTAAATGACCTTAATTTAAATGGTTCACAACTCTCCCTTTCTTAATAGATATAAAAATTATCACTCTTAGTAGTCCATAATAAATAAAAAATATACCATATTTAGTAGTTCAACTCACTTTTTCAAAAAAACAAGTATTTTGAGAAAAAGGTGTTTTATATATATCTAATTTTGATAGCACCTATAGTTCCTGAAAACCAAAACTTCTAAGCATATAATTCATTTAGTTAGTGGATTGTAATGATTGTGATTGTTGCTATATTAGAGAAAGTTGAATGACTCAATATATTTATAGTTTTAATCCTAAATAATTTAAAACCACGTTCTCAGAATACAATTTTTCTTTTAAGAATACTTCTAATAGTAATTAATCGAAAATCCTTTATAAAATATAAAATATTGACTTTGTAAGATTTACAGATTCTGTCTTCACCTGTTTACATTCTACAAATGTAAACATTTTTTCCAACAGCTATCAAAACTTAATAAATTTCTATAAGGCTGGTCTGTTTCCTTAATTCCAGATATTCAGCTTTAAGTTAGTTACAATTTTTTTAGATTCAATGCACCTTTCTTTAAAAAAATATGCACATTTCTCTACGTGCATCTTACAATTAGAAAACAAAGTTTTCTCTCTAAATTTCTCAGAATGGAGAATTGACTTGAGTTAACATTTTCTATATTTACATATGTTCCTAATACATATTGTAGTCTTCTTAGATATATCCAAACCAAAGGTTTTCAATTCGTATAGGATAACATTAACTTCTGTATAATCATTAAGATTTTTAATAATAAAAATATTATACAGGGTGGCATGAGAAAAATTAGAGAGGGCTTATAGCTTTTACTTAAATTAGAGCTTTGATCAAACTTTAAAGAATTTTCAGTTATTGTGGTTAATTTAGTTATTTTTATTTACTTGAATTTTGGATTCGTAACCCTAAATGATATTTCACAGTAAAAAATAATGACACATTTGCCCCACGTTTTCTAGAATTAAGACTATTTGTTTCACTATGAACTTAAGTTTTTGAAATTAATCGGCTTTTAAAAGGCATCCTTAAAAATGTATTAAAAGTACTATTAAAACAAAAACCAGAAAATAACCCGATTTTTTTTTCTAAAGTTTTTTCTATTTCATTTTAGCTTAAGTTTATATGTAGAAGAAGAAAAGGCTTTGTTTGATTCAATATTCTTATTTTAATGCTATATATTTTTATTTGAAATCTTTATTAATTTGCAACTAACTTTTTGATGAAGAGATTTGTTTTATCAAGAAATAAAAAATATAAATTATTTTCATTGAACTTCATTAATGTAGTTCACCTAATCATATTATCTCATAATTTGTTTTTTTATGATATAATGGCAAGAGTCACAGTTTTTTTATTTTATAACAATAAGAATACAGTACAATTCTATGAGCAATTTGACTTATATAATTATAAGATGAGCCTGAATTTATAACTGAGTATCAAATATTAGGAAGCAATGTTTGTTTTTTTATAAAATGATTACGAAATGAATTTAAATTTAGAAATCCGAGTGTAAAATATTAGGAAGCAATGCATTGTTGATTTTTTTTCACTAAACGTATATTAATGACATGTGTTTCGTTTTGTCAATTGAGTCAGTCGACCGGCTGACTGACCTGCAGGTTCTGCTCATTAGCATTCGCACAATGGATCGACTTTATCGTTAAAAATACTAATATATATATATATATATATATATATATATATATATATCGTGCATACATATACATATCTATAAAATTTGGGCATAATTCCAAGTAAAAGAAGGACCAAGGCACTTAAAAAGTTAAATGCATATCATCCCAACGTTTTGGTCATATTCGACATAACTGTAATGTTTTAAAATTTAAATATGCAATTTGTAAAAAAAATGAATCTGGAAATATTAGAATAAAAGAAAATTTACTTTGGAATAATATTATTAATAAAATTGTAATTGCAAATATTACATTATAGAATATTTCTAATATAAATAGGTAACAGGCCAAATAAATTCATCTTAAAGGTTTCATATGAACGCTACTTGATATATAAATTATGCTGAATAAGTTCTATTTCTTTACATTCTAGATATTTTTTTGTAAAATTATACCAACTTATTTGTTTAAATAATAAAAATAATTTTACTTGTTCGATTGTCCAAGATTTTGGAAGAAGAATACAATTGCGTTTAATTATCACAAAAATCTTAAATAATCAAGCAAGTTAAATTAATAATTTTACTTATTAACTATTTAATATAACTTCAAATATACTAAATATTAACTAACTTATTAATTATTATTACTTAATTATTAATGTTACTTTACTATTTAATAAAACTTTAAAGTTTTATTTTGTTTGTATAAAAGCAGATTTAGAAGATCTTGATTTTTACAACAGATTTTTCCATTATCATAAATTGTTTGCTATTTGATCATAATTTGGTCAGTGAAATAATCATTTTATAATGCATTTTTCTAATACCTAAGTATTGGAGTAAAAACTTTTTTAAATGTTTTACTGATTTGAAGTTCCTTTTCGAGCAATAGTTTCTTCGTAAAAGTTTCTTAAAATGATGAATTATAAAAAATTGATAGCAAGGGCATAGTACACATTAATAAAAGTCAAATATTTGGCGATTTTTATAACAATTTAAAAAAAAATTATAATACTCTATTAATTTCTGGAATTTAATTTCTAGTTCTAATTAAAACTAATTTAAGTAAACTTAGGTAAAGTTGAGTAAACTAACGTGAATTTATCTTACTTAAATAACTTATTCTAATTTGCTTAAATAAGGTAAAATCTACATATTATTAAAATAAAAATTTAAAAAAAAAATTATAAACATATAGAGTGCTTTATTTTTCATAATAACTTTTATTTCAATTCCATTTTTTTTTCAATTAAAATTATTTCTATTTTTATATTTATTTACATAATCCATTCATTTATTTTAAACGTCGATATAAAAAAATATACTTTTTTAGAGAAATCATTTCGTTTTCATTTTATAATATTAGTTCGACTATTTATATTTTAATTAAGTGTGTCGTGCTCTTGATGTCCTTAGGATGAAACGAACATAGTATTGAAACGTCGATATTAAATAATATAAAAACACTTGATTTTTATTTTTATTTTTGATTTTATTTTGGATGACTAGATTTTAATCGATAAAAACTCATATATATATATATATGTAATGATTAACCCATTGCACTCGAGACTTTTTTGTCAAATATGCTAGTGCCTCGAATGTACTTAAATTTTTTTTTACAAAAATGTGCATTAAAATTAAAAAAAAAACCTATTCTAAATTTTTTGGTCATACATAGTGGCGACTGTATATAACGCCGCTCAAGTTTTTAGATGCATTATTATTTCAGCGTAAGAATGATAACATTCTAGATCCTCCCCCCATGAAGTAATGCCTAACGGCGATTTCCGTGTGAACCAGAGTCAAGGGCAAAGCGAAGATTTTAGTCAGTCATACCCAGAGTCCGACATACCCAGACAAAAGATCTAGTCTGGGATGCGTAAATGCATTTCCTTCGCTATACAAAAAAAAGTTATTAGATACATGTTTACTGATGTGCGTATCTTTTTATTACCATTATTACATTTTTTTTTCTCTTTCAGGAGACATCCAGCAAGCACAATGTCCAGTCAATGGAAGACAGTTGGATCTGGACGGAAGGTGATGATGAAACAGAGACTTTGTCCCAAGAAAGCGAAAAGAAAAGGCGTTCAGATAGCGCCGAGTTAAAGTCAAGAATTCTTGAATTAGAACAAGAAAATCAAACATTGACTTCGAATCTCGAAGAGCTCGATTCCCAACACAATCTAGCTTCCCAGAAGTTGATCGAGATCAAAAACGAGTTGCAAAAGAAGTATGATGGTCTCATGCAGGAGTTGCAAGTTGCTAAGTCGGAAAATATTAAAACTGCAAAAGAAACACAACGACTCAAAGATGAAAATGAAAGGTTAAAAGTTGACTTTGATAAGGTTCAAGAAGATTTGAGTATTCTGCAGGATGAGAACTTTGACTTGCAAAGGGTAACCCAAGATCTAAAATCTGCTGCAAGTGGTGACAATGAATTGAAAAAGCTAAGGGATGAGTTGCAAATTCTAACAAAGAAATATGAAGAACTATCTTTTACCAATGAGCGGCTTAAAACTGGCATGGACAAAATTGATGAGGACAGAGCTGTTTTGCAAGATGATAATTTCACACTTCAAGATCAAATTGCTGAATTGCGCAGACAAGCCGAGGAAAAATCTGCTGGATCAGAACACTCAGTCAAAACTGAGTTAGAAGCTACCAAGAAAAAAATTGAACAGTTGACTTTTGAAAACGAACGTTTGAAAGTTGATTGCGATAAAGTCCAAGAAGACTTGTCTAACCTCCAGGATGAAAACTTCCAGTTGCAAGAAGAAATTGAAATGCTAAAAAATAGTAGCGTGCCATGTGCTGAAAATTCTGATGCTTTAAAAGTTGAAATTGATAATATGCGTAAAGATTTGGAAATTTTGAAGAAAAAGGAGTTAGATCTGTTGGCTCACAATGAAAGACTAAAGGTTGACCAGGATAAAATCGAGGAAGACCGTTGCGTTTTGCAAGATGAAAACTTCAAACTACAAGAGCAAGTCCAAAGTTTAACTTCCACCATTGCTGAATGTAGTAATTATGAAGACATGAAGAAAGAAAATGCTGATTTGAAGTTAGAAGTCGACAAATTATCAAGTTTGAGGGCTGAATTGGATGATTTACAAAAAAGTGTTGCAGATTTGAAGTTCGAAAATGAACGTTTGAGGATCGATCAGGATAAAATCGAGGAGGACAGATCTATTTTGCAAGATGCAAACTTTGAACTGCAAGATCAAATAGCTGCTTTAAAAAGTGAAGCCAGTGATTCTGGAAACTCTGAAAAGAAATATGCTGATTTGAAGTTGGAATTTGATAAATTAACCCAAGCTGATGCAGAACTGCATCAGGAGTTGGAACGCCTCAAAGTAGATTTGGATAAAGTCGAAGAAGATAGATGTATTTTGCAAGATCAAAATTTCGAACTTCAAGAGCAAATATCGGTTCTGAGAAACACCAAACCTACTGATAGCCCTTCTGCGTTAGAAACACTAAGGCAAGAAAATCTAGACCTCAAAATCAAATTAGAAACTAAATTAAAAGAGCAGACTGATTTACGACTTTTGCAAGCTGAAAAATCTGACCTCTTAATCCGAAATGAAAAGTTGGTGGTAGATTTTCATACAGTCGAAGCCCATAAAAAAGTGGTGGAGAAAAATAATGCAGAGTTGCAACAAGAGATTCAGAATCTCATAACTCAGCAAATAGAATTGAAAAATATGATAGACACCTTGAAGAAAAACGGTCAAGAAAATAAAGTGTTGATAGAAAATAATGCTGTGTTGAAAAAACAAATTGAAGCTCTTGCAGAAGTGAAAAATGATGTACAGCAACAATTGGAAAGTGTGAAAGCAAATCTTTATATGGCAGGAGAGGACAAAGGTATTTTGCATAGTACAATTACTGAACTTCGGAAACAAATAGAGGAATCTGAACGTTTGAAAATAGATCACAAAAAGTTAATGCAAGACTTATCTGTTTTGCAAGTGAAAAATCAAGGTTACGAAGGCGACATTGTTAATCTCAATGGTAAAATACAACAACATCTTTCAGAAATAGATGTATTGAAGCAGAAAATCAGCACGTTAACTATTCAAGGCTCAGGGGATAGTAAAAATAATTTGAAAGATGACTATGATAGGTTAAAAATCGATTACGAGAAAGTTCAGGAAGACTGCAGTGTACTCCAAGATGAAAACTTTGATCTTCAACAAAAACTACGAGAAATCAGTGATAAATCCAATTCCGATGGTCTGAGAAGTCAAGTACAATCATTAATGGAGGAAAAGACAAATATTGTGAAGGATTTGGAGAAGATCAAACAACAGCTAGCAGAAGCACAAAGTAAAAATTTAAAACTTGAACAACAATTAAAAGTTCTTGATAAAAATGAGAAATTAATAAAGGAGGCAAACGTCGCGTTGATTGCAGAAAAACAGGCCATAAGTTTAGAACTTGACCATTACCAAAAGGAGTGTGCTGAATTGATGAAAAACTATGATAAAATTTATTTAGAACTTGAAGAAGTCAAGTCCACCAAGTTGGAAACGATTTCTGAGAAAAACGAAGAAAGTTTCCTTAATTTGGAGCAACAACTTGAAAACTGCAGCAGTCTAAATCAAAGTCTAGAAGATCAGTATAAAAATTTAGAACAACAGTTAGATCATGCTTTGAAGGAGAAGAAAAAAATCGAACAAAATCTTAATGAAAGTTTGGAACAAGCTAAAGCTAAAATTGACAAGTTAACTTTGGATCACGAACAAGAAAAATCGACGTTACTGTTCGAACTGAATGAACTCAAAACCAATGTACCTGATAAAAATGTATTACAAGACTTGGAAAATAAATGCACGGAATATGAAGCTGCCTTACAGTCAGCTATACAAGGACATGAAAACTTGCTCAAAGAAAATTCTCATCTAAAACAAGAATTGCACAGAATGGCACAGAATTTAGATGGCCATAATACCAAAGTTCAAATTTTGGATTCAAAAAGTGGTATGGTGAAACCACAAGTGGATAATGGTCAGTTAAATAGACTTCAGTCAGAGTTACAAACTGCTTTGGAAACTATAGAAACTTTGAAAGCACAAAATACAGAATTGCATCAGAAGTATTCAACCGAGTTGCAGAATTATAAAGCTGTTGAAATAACTTTGAGGCATCAAATTGATGAACTTAGGCAAAAGGATGGTAATAAAAATGTTTTGGACAACGTGGATTCTGCTAACGCCAACAGGGAACTGCAGAAGGGTTATTTGGATTTACAAAACAGGCTCAAAAATATTGTTCAAGAAAATGAGAACTTAAAAGCATTACAGCAACAAATTGCTGATTTACAAGCTGCTTATGCAGCCTTGACAGTCGAAAAGAACAACTTGCAAGAACTTTTGAAGTCTTCACCACAAAATGCATCTGAACTGCAAACCAACTTCATAGACTTGAAAACAAGGTTCGACAATATCATCCAGGACAACGAAAAGTTGAAACTAGAAACCAGCAACTTACAAAAAACTTCTACAACCTTAATGCACGAAAAACAAGAACTAATAGAAGTTTTAAAACGCAAACACAAAGAAAGTGTTACATATCATGCAGAAATCCAAAGGCTTTCAGGACTTTTGCAAGCAGAATTAGCTAAAAATCAGAACCAGGAGCAAGTTGATCCAGCAAATATTGAAAAATTAACAGACCAAATCGGATTTTTGAGGGAAAAATGTGATATTTTAACCAACAGTCTGGTCACAGAGCAGACTAATGTGAAATTATTGAATCAGGAGAAAAAAGATGTAGAAGAAAAGGCTGCTTCGGCTTTGAAGGAGTTGGAACGATTGAGGCAACATCTTGTAGAGGTAATAAATGAATATTGAAAAAAGGTCATGTACTATTGTCAAATAAACTGTAGAATATGTATAGCTAAATCTTAATTCTTATGGATTAAATATATTATTTCTACATTTCTACACTTACAAACTTCTCGAAGGAGAAGTTTGTTTTCATCAAAAAATTCGATTCGTGAATGAGAACAAATTTGTGTGTATGTGCATGTGAACAGATTTTTTGCCGTAAATCGACGTTTTCTCAAAAACGGCAGGACAGATTTTAAAAATTTAAAAGCCATTTGATGTATCTCGATGAGACTATCGTTTCTTAGTTTTGCGCTACGATCGGCCGAACCGTTTCTTTGTAAATAGCAGAAAAGTGAAAAAATTTTCGTCCACGTTTTAGCCCGCAATTCTGGATCGATTTTAAAAAATTAAATCGTTTGAAAGATATTAAATGGGAATCGTGCTGGCTAGTTTTTGGTAAAGATATGCCGAGCCGTTTTCTTGTAATAAAGTGTTAAATTTTTTTTTCGACGATATTTATAATTTTGGCGGTAGATACCATAGTCTTATAGATCATACTAAAATATTAAGTCCCTACGACAAGTCGTTTAATTTTAAAAATTCTTCAAAGTTTGCAACAATTAGTATCGTTTTTTTGTCATTTGTCAAAATTAGAAATTTCATCGATGTTTTCTCAAAAACGTCTGAACAGATTTCAAAAATTTTAAAGCCAATCGGTGTATTTTAATGTGGATTATCTTTACTCAGTTTTGTGTGACGATCTACCAAGCCGTTTTTTTTTTGTAACTTGGAAAAAAGTGTTAAACTTTTTGTCCACATTTAAGCTCATACTACCGAATCGATTTCAAAAAACCAAAAACTGTTCGAAAGATGTTAGTTGGGTATGATACTGAATAGTTTTAGGTGAAAATTTACCGAGCCATTTTCTTGTAATTAACTGTTAAAATTTTGTTTTCTATTTTATGAACCTTTTTTGGCAATAGATATTATAGTCTTGTAAAACATACTAAAATGTTACGGCCCTACGACAAATAGTTTAATGTTAAAAATTCATCGAAGTTTGAGAAAATATTATAGTCTAAATTTGTGTCAAAAGTTGCTTTTCTGATGTGATGAGTCAAACATTATCAATTCATTAAATTTTACAATAATGAGCTACAATTTTAGGACATACAAGCACGTGTCTGTGCAATTTAATTAATATAATTACAGTTAATTTAAATGTGTTTGAGAAAATTTTATTCGAAATCGCTATGTTTAGATTTAATTGAAAGCGATAATTTTATTTTTGAAATAAACATTTGAAAATTTTATCTAAATATCTAAATTTCGATTGATTAAGTTAATTCTTACACATTTCGGGAAGTTCATGCAACTTACTTTAAGGCTAAATGCCACTTTCCACTGATTTTATACTAGTGAGTCAAAATCTCAATATTCTAAACAACTTGATATTTCAAAATAAATTTTGTTTTTTTCACTTGTTTCAATTTAAATAGCAAATTGTCACTTTGTATGATATTTATCAATATACAAAATTTGCCACTACTTCTTGACGAATATATGCGTCAATCACAGTTACCTGGTGAATAGCATCTTCTAGAAATTTCTTTGGAGACTTTTTGTACTTGGAAGTATTCTAAAGTTACAAAGTTTTCATTCTCATTTTAATATAGATTTATTAAAGTTAATGCTTGGAATAATTGATATTGATTTTATTATTATTAGATTGAAAATTCGCATACTCAAGAAATTATGGAGTTGGACATGAGAAATAACGAACTGCAAACCAAGATTAGTAACATTGAGGAGCATGCAATATATAATAATACGGCCTATACATCTGCCAGGTAATAATTTTTATATATTAATTTTTTTTCTTTTCTTTTTTATTGTTTGAACAGCAATCAGAACTCTTATATGTTCTATAATCTGTTTGTTTGTTAAGGACTTATGACTACTTATGTATTTCATGAGAGGCAATCCATCGATTGACCATTCTCTTATGTGTGGGATATATATATTAAAAATGGGAACACAAAATAAAAAAATATCACTAATCTAAAGATTTTGAACTTTCTAAAAAAAGTTCTACAAATTTAGACAATATTTTGGTTCAACATATATGCAAGAACTAGTATTTATTGTATAGTATTTATTATTTTAGAAGCTCTTTTAATTTAATTTCCAATTCTAAATGATTCGAGAAACATCATTTTGTCTTTTGAATAAAATCATCATTATTTATTTTTGCTCAGTTCATTGCAGCTCATATCTGCAAAAATATTGTTATATAGGTAGAGGTTGCTTTAGTAGTGCAACTGCCTAACTTGTACTCTGTTTATTTTGTCTAAAAATTACATCATTTGGTACCCATAATAAAACTAGTGAGTAAGAAAACAATTCCAATTGGAATGCTAGACAACTTAGTGAAACAGAAATAATTAAAAAGTAAGCTTTTTGTAAAATTTCTACTGATATTTTGGTTCAATTGTAAGTATGTCGTGGCTATAACTAAGGAGAAGTTGATCTCAGGCAGAATCTTACATAGTTCTTATTGTTAGTATTAGGCACGACTAAGGCGACTAGACTATTTAATCGAAACAAAAGCACACATTTGAAAACCACTAAAATACCTACTTCTAAGATTAAGCAAATGGCAAATCTTTTCTTCTAATTTAATTGCACTAAATAGTTCAGCATTATTTCCTTGGGTGGTACGACTTAAGCACCTTTACCCTACATAGTTTTTTTCATTATATATTATAAGAACATATTTAATTGAGAATTATATGCACATAATTAATGAATTATTTTGAAAAATTGTTAGTATTCGAGCCAACCAGCAAGCAGAAACATTGCAGACTCAATTAAATCTAATGTCCCAGCAACGAGATGAACTTTTGGCCAAGATGAGTGACACTGAAGACAAATATAATAGACAAGTTGCTGCTCTAACCAATTTGCAATGTGCCTTAGAACAATTCCAAAGAGGTGAGTTAAAAATAGTAACTACTGATTAAAATTAGAGAAAAGTTAGAATCTCAGTTTTAAGGAAGTCTCTAGGAAACGCTATTAAACAATATCCATATTAATATGTCGGAGTTGCTTTTCTTCATATTAAAAAAAGTGGCTGGCTGTCTGAGAAAGCCTGGCTTTTTTAAATTTTGTAATAGTACATATTTTAGGAGTAGTATAAGCTCTGCCAGAAAATACTAAGTTCTATTATATTTCGAGCAATCGTTCGAGTAATCGTTTGATAACAATATTGGATAGAGTGCCAAAATTAAGTTTTGCTCCACATTATGCCAAAACCAGTTTTCAAAACAAACTGTTGAAAACTTGATTACTATTTTACAACTTGTTAAATAAATAAATAAATAAATTTGTTGATTGCTTTAAGACAAAATACCACTTAGATGTCCATTGATCACGTGATTGATTTTTTAAGGATTTTTTAAGGACCACCCCTCCTTCTTTTTGATTCGTGGTGATATTCAAAATTTAACAATTTGGAGCAAATACTGCTTTTGTAAAAATGCGGAATACAAATTGAGATCCAAAACTGTCCCGACCAATTCTAGACTCGTGGTTATCTTTAGCATATATCTTGACTTACACTTAAATTTTTTTTATTTTCAGATAAAGATCAAGAAATCCACCAATGCACAGAAAGGATAAGAAACCAATTGGAATTGGAACGACAGGAACAAACTGCTTTAAGGAACGAAATCCAATCCCTAAAAACGCAACTTAGTGAACAACAACAAGGCCTGATGGCTGCAGGAAGACTTGCCAGTCAACTTGAATCCTCACAAACAACTGTACAAAATCTCAGACAAGAATGTAAGTAGAAAAAAATTAATACATACTAAATATTTGTTTGAAGTAGATAGTTGCTGAGGTAGTATGTGTTTGAAGCATTTTTACTATAATGTTTTTGAAGCACTACATATCTTGATTTAGCAAGCAATGCACTATCACTAGATGATAATAGAAATAGTCAGACAGGATTTTGTTTTAGAGCTAATTGTTCATGGATTTTTATATTGGTTAATGTTTTGATCATATTGCATTGTATTGAAAGATTTACCTAAAATGTAAAAATCACCCGAATAACATCCAGGCCCTTGGCCAATATACATGCCAAATAGTTTGGACAATCTATATACTGATCCACCTATAAATCTAATTAGAACACATTTTATTTTGTTAAATACTGATGTGATTCTTTTAAGAATGGCCAAAACTCATCTTTTTTGTCGCATAAAAACAACACACAGTTTTCTATTTTCATATTACAAATAAATATACTGAAATAAAGAAGAAGAGTTATACCCAAAGGCCCAACTATGGCCCAATCGACCATAATCTTGTATGCATTTTATATATTGAAATATATCTTTTTTGAATTGGAGGAAAAACATTTTTTTCGAATTTTCAATTGAAAAAAATGTATTGGAAGCATGTCCAAAATAGTTTCTTTAAGGACTTGTTCTAAGTTTTTTATTATAAAATATTTTTTACAACTATCGAGGACAAGTAATGAATAATAATGAACAAAAACACTCTTAATGGTCAGATGAATATTTAATTAAGATTTTCTTAAATTGAAATCAAAGATAAATCTAATATTCAATTTATTTATGTTCTTTTCTCTTCTGTTTATGGGAATATATTCAATTGAATATACATATTAGAAGAGAAAACTTGGACGAAAAATTGTATCCATACGTACATACACACACACACACACATCCGTTTTTTCTAGGGTATGCCAAAATGTTCAGATACCTTAAAAACGTGAAGATATGCAAAAATTTTCAATTTCGATTTTTCGACGATTACAATAAATTACCCTACGGGAAGATAATAATTTTTTTAAAATATTATAGGCCTGTGAAAATTTTGACTCATTCGAAACAGAATTTTGTAATAAACATTTCTTTTTTATTAACTTCTCGAACTAGTTTGTTTTTTTTTGCTTATACCAGAAAATACGATTTGACAATTTTATGTTTTCTACATTTTTCACAAGACATTCTGAATAGTTTAACGCCAAAATTTTGATTGCAAGAATCTGCATAAAAGCCAAAATTTTGATTGTTTCTCTAAAAACTGCTGCATTGATTTCAAAAATTAAAACCAGTTTAATGAACTTTGTTAAAGACTCACGTTTATCAGAAACTTTTCAAATTTTCTAATAAAATGCAACATGCATAAGTTTAAAAAAATAATGTATATGCAATTTTGGACTTGTTGCATTATTTTTTAAACTAAATTATATAATTACATCTGCCAAAACATATACTGTTGACTGTATATTATATTATTTTAATTTCTGGCACATCTCAGCTGCTTTTTGGCAATAATAATGTAGACATAACATTTTTCTGGTATTTTATATTCTAATATTATCTAGGCTCATAATGTCAACTAAATTCAAGTTTCAAGTGAATTGGCATTTCTAGCAGATGACACTTCAAATGTTTTCAATCAAACAATGATAAGTGTTTTTTTTGTAATTGTTGCCATTTATTTCTTCAATATTACTATAGTTTTATCGTTCATTAAATCTTAAAAATTTCGTTCGACAAACTCTAAAAAGAATTATCAAAATCCGAATAACCGTTTAGGAGAGATATCAAATCATACACCCGTACAGCAGAGTTTATATATATATATATATATATATATATATATATATATATATTTATTGATTTATTTATTTATTATCTAAATATTCCTTTCTACAATGCGATTGATCAAAACCTTTACCACCATCACTTACTTTTGGAGAATTCACCTTGCATGCTTTTCTACAAAATTAATATTAATATCAACATTGTCTCATATTTATTAATTAATTGGTGCAATGAAAATGAACATTTGATATCAAAATTTTTGGAGATTGATTGATTGATTTGATTAACAAATGGACGACGATGGAATATCAGCTGGTAATTCTGGGCGATTTGAGAATCCAGGATTCTGACTGATATAGCATTGTCGTGCCAACAAAAATGACATGACTTTTTGGCCACTGTTTTTTATTAGAAATTCACGCACTTGTTGTATATAATAATAATAATATAATATAGAATAATTCAAATTATGATATGGTGGTGGTGGATATTTATTCGTACACACATAATTCATTCAGGAGTTTTTTTGACTGTATGAGCTTTGGCTGATTTTAGTGTTTCTGCTAGAATTTTGTGACTTGTGTTCATGTTTTTAATAGATTTTTGTGTGATTGTTTAAACGTTAGGAGCTACATATATCACATACATTTAGACATTTTGTTTTCATTTAAAAACTGAATGTAAGGTAAAGAGTTTTTTTATTTCATGAACGGTAAGTTTTTTGAAAATCAATTGTGAATGTGTAGAAATATATATTGTTTTTGGAGTGCACACACATTCACATATCTATATATGTTTATATATATATATATATATATATATATATATATATATATATATACATATATATATGACATTATTATTATTTTTTTATCAATATATTTGTAAAAGAATGAAGCGGCATGTCTATAACTCAAAAAATCCCTATCAATACAAAACAATGTTTTCGGAACACATAGAAAAATTTAATCATACTTTCAATATTAAAAATCCAAAAATATATTTAATTCATTTATTTATTTATGTTTTTGAATTTAATGCATCAATAACATCATATTTACAAAATTTGATGGAATTTTTAAGAATTTATGACTGAAAATCTGTATACACAAACATGTTTCTTTAAATCAGTTTTTCCTTTTTGCAACTTCCACATATTTTATGTATTTCAAACTTTTCATTTCTTTTTTCAAAAACATTTGCCCTGAAAATTTTCAAGATTTTTATTTTAAGTTTCCTATTATATTCTTTTTTTGGCCCTAGAACAAGAAAATTTTGATTGTCAATTTATTACCTATGAGAAATATGTGATCATTAATTATGAATTAAAATTGTAAGAATAATGAACTTTCTTGGTAATTTTTTTTTTGCTTATTTAAACTTTGATTTTTAAAACTTTGATGTTGATATTTATAATACACTTGAGCAAATTTCATTGTATTTCTAATGCTTTTTTATTTATCCTAGTTTTAAAAACATTTTGAAAACTTTTCTCTACTTTCTCCTTTATTTGTGTTTATAAATTTTGTACCTAATGTCTACTCACTTAATCAAAAACTTTACTTGCTAATTTATTATTTATGAGGCAAATATAATTATAGAGTGTAAACCATAATTGATTTTTTGTTTAAGTATATTTCTAACTTTTCTTTTCTAAAACATCTAACGAATAAAATCTAAAAATCGAACACAACTTTTCTTACATCATTTTTTGCTTTTTTCCTATTTTGTATTTTAAAATTTTGTTATTGATATAGATATATATTTACACCTTTACGTAAGTTTAATATGCATTCTTCATTTTAAAAAAATCAAAGTATAAAATCTCTACAAAACTTTGAGTTTTTCTCTATTTTGTTGAATTGTAAATGTATAACTGAGTAAGCTTATTTTAAAAGACAATTGCTTGCTAATTTGTGATCAAATAAAACATAAATTAAAATTGATTTTTTGCTTTAGTAAAAATCTAAAAACATACTTTTTCCTATATTATTTTTAATACTATTTAGTGTACAATAAGCTATTCAAACTTTCATATTCTGTATCTGAGCTTTCATTATAAATTAACACTTGCTTCTTTCATTCACACCTATTTCGTCCATATTATTGTTTTCATATTACAATACAAATATAAACAACTCTATATTGTTTATTTATAAGTTTGTTCCTTCAACCCTTTCCACTGGATGCCTTCGCTCCAGCGACAAAATTCACATAAATCTAGGAATTCGCGAGTGGAAAGGGTTAAAATTTAAGTAAGACTTGCGCAAATATCCTCAATTTGTCTAAATGTGTGCCCTTAGAATGTGCTTGAAAATTCGAATGACTATATAATCTGATGCAGTCATTCAGAATTGTATTTATTGTAAGTGTTGTTTGACAGAGTGTAATCGTGTATTTTGATTTGATATTATATTTTTTGAAATTGTCTGCATTTATTGAGATTATTTATTTGATGTATCTATATGGAGGCTGCCAGAATGCTGCTAGCGATTGCTTTGTAATGCAAATGTAAAAATGTTTGCTTTTCGCGTAATCTCATAATGTAACGGTGAGGCAAATTTTTAGCAAACACTCATTGTGCAATGTGAGATGATGCGAACGCAAATGCAACCAAAAATGAATGTTATAGAAAATATAATAGTTTTATTTAATAAAAATCAGAACAATCCATATATTAATTTATATCGGCCAAGAGTTGTTAAACTTAGCGGCCGAGTCGCCGAGCACTTTGACCTGAAACTACGCAAGTTTCAAGTTGCATAAACATTACCCTTACACGGGCTTGCCCTGATGAATATTTTTTATCAAAATTCTTGGTTATTTAATACTACTGCGTAATAAAACGTTTAACGTAATTTTGTGTTACAATATTTTTAAAAAGGCCATATATTATTCTATATTGTCCAAAAGCTGCTATGTAAAGTAGCCAAGAACAGTTGATTATTGTACATTGACTTGAAAATACGAGAGATTTAGGATACTAACATGAATCCTTATCCCGCGTTTGGTCATTTTTTTTTTGTCAAAAACCATGTAATTTTTTCATTATACTTTGTATCAAGAGCAAACCAAAATATAAATTGATTGTTTTAGACTGTGAGTTGGTTTGTTGGCATCATCAATATTTTTTTTATTAATAAATATCGACTTAAAAATGTGCATTAAATAATGAATTAACATAAGACTCAAAAGCATTTA